GGAAAGAGCAGGCTGTGTTTTCCCTCCTGACCCAGCTTTGCTTTTCGCTCCCTGCACACAGCTTGGCTCGCACTAGGTGGCAGCTTGCGTCTTTCTCTCGGACAGCCTTCATCGTGGCTCATGTTCTCATCTAAACCCCGATTTAAATGTTTCAAAAATAAAGGGACATCCAAGTGGGTCCTCCTTCCTCTGCCACTCTCCTCCTGTGCCACCAGCTCAACGGACTTTCTGCTGCCTTGTTTAGTTTCATGGGCGTATGGCAGCTGTGGCAGTGGGGCTCAGACAGGGAACTTGAAAGTCAAGTCTAGGCTGGAGGGCAGCATTATATCACAGGTAAAATGTAAAAGCACTTAAGGCTTTATGTAAGCTCGCTGCCAGTTCTGGTAATGTTTCAATTAATCTCCAATGTTTCCTGCATTAGCAGGACCTGTCTTACTCATCACAAGCATCTGGGAGCTTTCTGGACTTCTGCTTTCATTTCGAAAGAGTCTGATCTGAAACTGCATCAGGCTGGCAATGTTTGTGATTACACAGACTGTACAAAATAGCCCGTCATGAAAAATACCTACACCTATTTTAAGCACATTGTATCTTGGAGAAAATCTGAGTGCTTTAAATCTTGCAAACATGATTATTTTTTCGTTTAGAAATTGAACTGCTGTGGTGCCACAGAACTTCTTTTTTACATATTTTGGTACATTTTCAACAGTTCATTCCAGTTTCTAAAATGAAAACGCAACCAAACAGCAATAAAATAACAAACCAATCTGTCTTGGCAATGGAAGAATTTTTTTGCTGAAAAAAGTCTGTTTTGAATTTATACTGCCTCAGCAATGGTCTAAATTTAACAAATTCTCCTTCTGATGCTGGAATGCTGTGATTCCTGTAACTTTTGGTGTCACGAAAGGACCTTGTAAAGAAAGATCATCCCATTTTTTCTCTTCCCAGTTACATATCACAGAGGTGAACTTTGGATGGAGGAGAGTTATGGAAAAGACAAGACTGCTGAATGATACAAACTGAGAGTCAGTGGTATTTGGCAATAGAGAATAGATGAAGTATTGAAAGGCCACAGTTTTGTATTTTTCTTTTAAGGACTATAACAAGTAGAGAAAGATACACATTTGAAGTTGTATATTGCATATACTAAAGTTGCTGATAAGCATCACTCCAAGAAATGGACAATTACCCAGAAGATTAACCTCTTGCTCCTTCATTGGAAGGAAGCAGCTATGAATGTCTCAAGGGTCAAATACAGCAAACAGCTCACACCATTCAAACACCTGTGGGACCCAAACCCACTCCTGTGGGGCTATGTGAAAGGAACAGCACTCGCCAGTGATGCAGAGCCATTTCTTCCCGCTCTTGGGGCAAGCTGTTTGGTCTTGCTCCATTTCCCCATCTGTAAAAACAGGAAACAGCCTTTCCTGCACCTCCCATAACAGAGAGGATTGGTACCAGGAAAACCCAAGAGGAGAGATGTTTCTTTAGCTCAATAAAGTCAATGATAAAGCTCCCACTGGTAAGGATGTAATGCATAGATTTTTCTTTTGAGTCTTACTCCTGACATCAACATTTCCCTCTTACTCCCTATCCCATTCTGACATAGTGCACTAGAGGGAGCTGAAGCAGCTAGAGAAAAAAAGGTATTTATCCTACTAATGAGCCAAAGCATTGTGTATGTCAAGACAGACACCAGCTTCTGTCAGGAGAAAAAACAGCTGGCCTGACAAGACCAGGAGTAGGAAACTTATGGTAACAGAGGCTGTGCAAGTGCGGGTAGCCTGGTTTCTGCCTTGCTCCTCTTGTAAAGGCAGTGAGGAAAAGAGAGAGGGAGGAAGGACTGCTTCCTAGGACACACTTACTACTCAGGGCTTTGAAATGCGATCCTACCTCAGGGGCGACAAAGTTGGCAGTATAGCAGGGAGTCATGAGCAGCCCATTCTCTGCTCTCAGTTGCTTGGCAAACCCGAAGTCACAGATCCTGATGGAGTCTGGGTTTCCTGACTCATCCATGTAGAGGATATTACTTGGCTTGAGATCTCGGTGCACCACCTTAACAAGAAAGCAGTGAGTAACAAGTAAGGAGAGGAGGTCAGGGAGCATCCAGGCTTGGCTGCCATTTCTGGTCTTCTGGTTGAGGTAGGTCAAAAGCTCATGGTGAAAGTATTTAAGTTTTGAAGAAAAGTTGCTTAAAAGCCTTGGGCAAATGAAGGAAAAAAAAAAAAGGTCAAAGTCTGTTAAAATTAGAAAGAACATGTTTGACAGCCTCTGCTGGTATATTAAGATGGAGGCTGCTGCTCTAAGGGGGGGACACCTTTCCTGAGGCAGTTAGAGGGGGTGTCTGTACAAACACCTTGGTGTCAGAGTCTCCTGGAACCTCATGGCCCTAAATATTCAGCTAAAAGGCAAAGAAGAAGTCCCGTCATAGGAGGAAAGCGTGTAAGGGTCTTCTTGAGACTGCCCATGTAAGTGGCTCACACCTGAAGGGAGGGATTATGTTTTTTTTCCTTGTTTCAAAATGTATTTACAAAAATCCCTTCTGTTGGCACGCAACTTCAAGTGGCTGGGTGTTTTACCAGACATGCTGCATTTCAGTGACAGGTAAACAGCCTTTATTCGTTATAGCAAGACTGAAAAACTATCATGAAAACATAAAAGCCCAAGCACAAAATGCACTTGTTTTAACCATTAAACAGAAAAAGCAGCAAATATTTGACAAGTCATCCAAACTGTTTGTCCCTGAAAAGTGGAAAAAGAGGTATTTTCAAACTGCCATATATAGAGAGCTTACATTTTAAAAGCCAGCTCTTTATCAGCATGTCAGTAGCCTTTCCCATCAGCTGCTCAAACTGCCACTTTATTTGGAAAGCTGAACATTTGATTTTCTACCTATCTGCTGATTCAGCTACCCGATTTGCAATTCTGTTAAAAGATCAGGTACTGCAATAAAGACTGTGATAAAAAGTAAACAAGTAATAGCTCAACAAGGTACATGAACTTGAAAATCAGTGTAGTTTGAGAATGGAAATACCACTTCAACATACTGCAGTTCAGTTTTGAAATGGCTAAAAAGCCTCTGACCCTATTTCACAAACCAAATAGAATTATAAATATGGAGAAAGATTTTTTTTTTTTTAAAAAGTATTTACATTTCAGAGAAGCAAAATCACAGCTATTTGCTTTTTCTAAAAGTCAGATTTTAAGAAGGCTGATGTGGATAGCCAAAAAAGCAATGCTTACGCCCTGAGAGTGCAGGTAGTCCACAGTCCTGGTGATGGTGCACAGCACAGCACTGGCCTCCCGCTCTGAGAAACACTTCTGCCGAAGAATGCGGTCCAGGAGCTCGCCTCCCCGCATCAGCTCCATCACCAGGTACACATATTTCCCGTCATCATAGACCTGGAAAAGTAAAAGAATAAATATATGTTTTGGACCCATTAACTTGGTAAAGGTTGGTCCTTTAACCACAGTGTTAGCTTGCTGGTGTGAGATGTTGCAAGAAAATATCAACTAATGTGTGGAAAACGTGCTTATTACGCTTAATAACAGAAAAGGCAACTTTATAAAATGACTTAATTGTCACTTTTTCTTGTTTCTGTAGCAACTTGCTGATATGTCCACACAGAAGCGTAGCTTTCCTGATCTGCTACCACGTCAGCAGAGTAGACCAAGCTGCTAAAACCAGCATCACTTCACACAGCCTGAAACATCTGCTGGCTCTCACCCAAGCCTCCTTCTCAGTAGCGTTCTCTCTTTCCAGTTCTACAAGGTAACATTTGCCATTTCAAATATCAATATTTCCCTTTGACTCATGATCAGCTAAATGAACTGTATTATACTGCTGGCCAAGACCTGCTTCCAATGATATTATAGAGCTTACATTTGCAATTCTGGTGAATATGTTGTTGACATCAGCCGCAAGATGTATTTACCTTCAATGTCAATTGCAAGGGGTAAAAGGCATCTTTTGTCTAAATTGGAAGACAGTCATTTTCACATCATAATCCTTTATCTAGACTGCAATAATAGGTGGCATTATAGTCATCAATGCTAAATGTTTTTGGAAAGGAATATAAAACCTTTTTTTTTTTCATAGATTTTGAGATACTTTTTAACACTTAGGAATTAGGTGAGACTTTCCTGAGGGCATGTGATTAGAGATTTTTACTTCTGTAAGGTCCGAACCATAACATACTGGCCACTGACACCAGCAGGATTTTATTCTGTAAACTCTGAGTCTGACATGGTGTGGACAATCCCAGGTGAGACTGCAGGCAGCATAAGTGAAACATCTCTGACTGAAGGTCATTACTGCACATAAGCATAGCAAAGGCTATTCTTCACATGAAATGCTGAAGAAAGATACCTTCATGTCTTCTCAGGCTGCTTGAGTAGAAGGTGAACACTCCCTGTTGTTAAAACACTACTGGGGGAAACCCTAGTGACTTTGTGAGCTCTCTCCTTCCCACCAAAGCAGATACCACAGGCTGCATGGGAACGCCTGCTGCTCATGGAAGAGCATCCTCTGCCCAGCAGCACCACTGCGTATGCTCAGCAACTTGCTCCAAAACACCCAACCAGGGAGATCTCACTTCTGAAAAGTGCTGCAAAGCCAGACTTGTTTGGTAGTTCTCCAGCGCTGTTCCACTTCTAAATGCTATCCAGTAATCTATTAAGTCATGGGTTTGTTTTTTTTCTTTGATTTCAGTGGGTTTGGTTTTAGCTCCGACCTTCAGCTGAAGAATTTCCAGATGTAGACTAGTAGGTGAGCCTGACCATAAGGTGAAAATCATTTAATGCTGAAGTGCTCAATGACTACTTACATCTTTAAGAGTAATGATGTTTGGATGCTGTCCATATCGCAAGAGGATCTCAATTTCTTCAGAGGGGTCTCTCTTGCTCTTATCAATTATCTAGAATAAATGAAGCACAGTATAATAAGATACTGGTTAGCAGCAGTAAGCACAAAACAAGCGATTTCTACTGTTTAAACAAATTAATATTTAAAATTCTTCTATTAATCATTACTCTAGGAGAGGACAGCTCAAACCCTGTGCAAATGAGAGCCATGCTGACTATCTGCCAAAGCCAGATGGAGCAATAATTTAGATTCCAAAAGCGTAGGCCCTCTTTTTGATGCCTATAGATTTGTTTGCCTGTAAATAATGGCAGTCACAAGAAGTGTAATTTAGAAATCAAATAGCCTGGAGAATTTTAAAATAATAATGGTTTTAAAATTACCTATTTGACATAAAAAATGGATGTGTTCATAATACTAGCATATGCTTGTATATCTGCTGATAAATTAATAGAAATTCCTTATCAGGTGGGTTTGTCAGAAATTAAAATGTATAGACATTTTATAGACATCAGAGAGTATAGTGAGACATGAAAACTTTTTAGTTGTATAGCAGCAGGTCTCAGAAAAACATGACACCTGCTGCTTAGAGAGCACAGCTGCATGGAAAGCCTGCTGTTAGGATGGCACTAACTTCTCATCGATGCTCCTATTACCTATATTTGGGATGTTAAAGAGCTTCGATCATTTGCCCAGTTGAGAGCACTGATTAATGCTTCTCACTTTCCAGATTTAAATGATAAATACGAAACAAAAAATAGCTATAAAACAATCCAAGGCAGATCTCTCTATTTTGGAATCTCGAATGCAACAGCACAGGGAATTGCAAAAGACTCATTCTACTAGAAGCGCATCAGGAGTACAGAATTTTGGCACAATTTCTTATTGCTAGAAACAGCAGCAGGACTTTTGAATAACAGGTTTACCAAAGAGGAATAGGTGGTGTTTTCAGAAAATTGTAATTCCATTATTGGCATGGATTTCGAGGCTTCCAATCTTAAATGTGGTTAGTTATCTCTAACTAGGCACAGAGCACAGTCTTAAGACAATGGTGTTTGCAGGGAAACAACTTTTTAAAAATCTCTTTTGTTAATGAAGATAAATGCCTGGCTACTTTTGCATGCATTTTTTATGGCTTAATTATGGTGATACACGTTTAAGTACACGTCTGGAATTTTATGCACCAGTTATAATAGTGCATATTTGAATATGTATCAGAGGTTTTGTAGTCATCATGACTGGCATGCATTTGCAGTGATAATGTTGGTCAGTAGTTGACATGGTTGAGGTATGCATTTGAAGCCGTATCAGTGATTTGATTCTGACTTAATAGCAGTGTGACAAGTGAAAGTGCAACAGGGAGCTGATGCAGGTAGATGACTGTTGTCCACACTTGAATAAATGAAGGAAAAACCTCAAAAACAGGTGAGCAGAAAGAAGAATTAAATTAGAAATTTCCCCTTAGAATAATGTTCTCCCAGTATAGTTGAGACATTCTCAAAAAGCCAAAGAAACCCTGACTGAATGACTCCTCATAAATACAACCACAGTGAACGAACGTGTTCCACTCAACCAATAACTCTAACGTACAAAAAGATCCTCAGGGCCACTTCCTTAGCTAAACTAATACAGCTCTTGTCAAGCTGATGGAGTTACACACATGTGCATGTGTTAGGATCTGCCTGCCTTGTACTAACCAGCAGGATTTCCTGCAGCAAGTATTACTACCACTGTGTGAACTACTACTACTACTATGGTACTGTAGCAAGCAATATATTCCAGATTCCTTTTCTGTTGTATTTTCCTGTGAAAGGAAATATCCAGAGCTGTGGAAAATTTTAAGCAGCTACTAATAATGCAGGACTATAAATGTATAAACATGGCCTAAAAAAAATCCAAACCAAAAATAGTCTCAGCTATTGACACAAAACTCAACATAACCTGAAGTTATCAGTTTGCTACTGATTTAATAGCCAGAGCAGCAGTTGATATGTAATGCTTCTAATTCACAATATGCTATATAAGTATAAATCGCAAGAAAGTTCCACTAAACACACACGCTTTTTCTTTAATGTGTGCACAAGCTGCGATACAGTGATTAAATCGACAAGCTGCCCCTAACCACACAACAAATCATTGTCAGAGCTGTGAAGGGACCTGCCCAATTCCTCTCAGTCCCTGGACAGTCCGGTTGGACAGATCAGAACATTTTTTTCCTTCCACAGTGAGAGATTGTCACCCTGACAGTTCCTGTCTTCAGCATGCCCGTGACTTATACTCGGCCCACGACTGGTAAAGCAGCAAAGGAGGTGGCTGCTGCACCTTTGGCAGAAACCTCTCCTCAGTTCAGATTGGCTGCAGTACGCATGGTTTCTTTATTCACGTGCTGCAATGGCCATAGCGGCTCCTTAACTATGCCCCATAGCTCCACTGTGGTACTTCTGTTCTCCCTCTTCAGAAAGTGTTCCGGTGTGTTGTTAAACCCATGCCAGACTTTCCAAAAAGGGAAGCTGCCATGTCAGAGTGGTTCAGCGGTGGTTGCTGCCTCCTTTTGCATGCAGAGGTGTCTGCATCACAACATCCCCAGAACATCTGCAAACCTTGTTCCAGCTCAGTGCCAAAATGAGCTGCAGTGAAACGCAAGCCCAGTGCTCCTTATCAAACACGGGGGCTAAGGAAGATGCATTGTGGGCATCCAGTGATCTTCATAAGTAGTTCTGAGATTCTCAAAAAGTATCAATTTAAATGAATAAAATTCTGTACGTGAAAAGGCAGTGGTTTCACTAGATAGGTGTAAAACAAGTGCTTTCTGTGCAGCTGTACTTTCTGATTTTCAGTGCGAGGAAAACTATGGAGAAAAAGCCTGCTCCGAGCACTGTGTGCAGATGCAGCAGAGGAGATGCAGGACAGAGGCAGCCTGGGCACAGTCCCCTCTGCACAATCTCCCCACGCTTACCAGTTGGTCGCCAGGCTGCCTGGCCTCCTGGCAAAAGCACGTGGCTTCTACCGTACTTATGCAGTAACCTTCTCCTCCTCCAAAGAGCAACACCCGGGCTGCTGGGCATAGAATCCAAAATCACCGTGAACACCTCATCCACAATCCTACATGCTTATCTACACATACGTCCTCCTTCCTGGAGTGAGTCAATGCCAAGATGTATGAAGCAGCCTCCATCGTAATCTGAAAAGAGTTCACTAAGTCAAATTTAGCGATTGCCAGAGAAGGCGAGGGAGGCATTACAAAGTCTAACCATGGTTGTACTCTGCCTCCTGGAAACAAACCAAGGCACTCTTCTTGCTAGTCCTTTCCAGAGGGGACCTGGAGAGTATCTGCTGGCTCCTCGGGGCTGTGCTCCCACTGGTGGCCCCCAGGTTCTCTCAGGATGAGGACACAGATCTTCTTTCCAGTGAGCTTTGATCAGCAGTGAACTACTACTAGCAGAGTAGACACCCATACCAGGCACTTGGCTTTCCATTTCCATGTTACTGTTTCTTCCTCCTGCTCCTGCTTTGGACTTTAATTATCTCTAATTTTTAAAGATCAGCTCTATTGTCAGTCCACCTCTGCATATGGAGAAGTTTTAGCTTTGTCCACTGAACTCAACCAGTGCAGATTGTGTAGACAAAACCACAGCATATGCGGAACTTCACACCCAACCACTGTAGCAGTTAGGTACAGTCCTCAAATTCATTTTAATACAACACCTCTCAGAGCTATGCTTTCAGGTTGCCCAGAGAGACCCCACAAGGATAGCCTGTTGTTGGCTACTCTGCTCTTATGAGGACCGAAGGCTCTGGACCATTTCCTACCTATATACTGGAAGCTGAAATGCTAGAAAGAAAAAAAGCATTTAATGTTACAAATTTGGATACAGGAACTGCTGTACTCTCATCAGATGCCCTACAGGAGACCACACATGGCCACAGTATGTGGCACAGTGTCAGCTCTCATTCAGAATTAATATTATTATTAATCAGTTGGGCATTTTTTTTGCTATCTAGTAGCTTTCAAGCTCTACTGTTGGATGCTGGTAAACTAAATATGTCTGAATTTTAGATAGGCAATGACCCTCTTAAACTCTGACTAAAAGCTGAGCAAAACAATATAACTTCTAAATATTTCTTGTGGCAACGAAGAGTATTTGCCACCCTGGTCACCCTGTTTCCTCTGAGACATTGTGTTTTGCATGAAGACAGACTCTTCTCTGTTCCTCTTTGTGACAGCCCATGAACCTCCTGCAGCTCTTCCTGTGCAAGGAATGATCTCTTTTCTTTAGGGAATTCATTGTGATTTGAACTCAACAGAGTAAACATCCTCTGTTACAGAATTAAGGGAAGATTTTCTGGGCTACTAGTCCTGGGGTTTTGAGTAATACGTAATGATGCTACTTTTCTATTTCTCTGTATAAATGTGTGGTGAAGAACACCAACTCAGAAAGCCATCATAATATATAAATAACTGATAAGGTAACAAGAGCTCTACTGTACTTTGGCAGAGAAGAGCTGTGAAGCACAGGGGTCTTCTATTGTCCTTCAGAAAAATAAAAACCTGAGCCATACAACAAATAGACTTTTCTCTATGTATTGGACACCAGGAGATTGCTTAGAATCTCATCTGTATTAAACAGTGAATTAAACAATTCCAGAGTAAAATGGGCTCAGTACATGCAATAGTGTCCTTTGTTCTCACAAGGGACTTGTTTGTTCTTTGACTATCACATCCTTTGTGTATTTCACTAACTAGCTGAAAGAAAAGGTACATTTTCTTCAGCCAAATTCAGGGTAAGAACCTCGTGATAGTTTAAAATGAGTCAAGCTCTATCAAAGGACAATACTGATCTCTTTCTCTATCAAGGAAGAAAGGATCAGGAGAGAATATTTTCAAAATCCTAATTAATGTGTCTGGCCAGTTTTTACAAGTCTTTCTACAAGTCTTTTGCAGGGATTCTCCCTTACTAATGGGTTTTCAATGTCTTTAGCCTTGCCAGATTAGACTGATGAGAATAAAAGACAGTATCAATACAGTTCTGTCTGGGTACCTTGCTGAATTTGGTA